ATTATTTCCTTTTTTGGCCAACGTGGCTGATAATAGCTGGTATGGTCATCGCCACGCATTTTTCTGTTTATTTGGCTTTGTGGCGAGACTGGTTCTTTAGGACAACCTCTCTGGCTTTTGGATTCATGGGTGCTGTCCGCCGGTTCCGTCTCAGCCTGTCTCGCCCACTGTCTCACCCGACATATTTATGGATCAATGAAGCTGCCAATAAATCGTCACCCCAGCCGGTTCGGCCAGTTCATCCGGTCTTTTCGTCCGTTTCCAGCTGTACATCAGTCCACCTGGTGACACCCCTGACAGTCCTCGAGCCGCCCAGGTGAAACGGTCGCCAACCGCCGGTACATGAGCTACCAGCTGTCGGTACTGGAACCACCAACAGTCATTGGTAGAGCTTCCAATCGTCAATGGTGAAGTCTTCAATCGCCGGTGCCGTAGTTTTCAGCCGTCAGTCCTTGAGTTGCCACTATCACCCAACATGGGACAGGCAGCGCGTGACTGACGCCAGGCTGCCTCCAAACGCGACTCCTTACGGTCGTCCACAGCCTCGGTCGGGCACGCGACGGAGCTGGCCGGTTTGGTAGCACCCGCACACGTGACACCTGCACTGTATTGTGAGGTGCACTGTGCATGGGTCGTGTAGGGTGTGCAGTGTGCACGGACGGTGCACCAGCAGCCGTTTAGGTGAGTTACCTGGCTGGTTGGAAAGGAGATGACTATGCGATGCAGCACATTAGCAATGGGATCAGATTCTGGCAGTGGTGACAGAGTCTCGGCAGCGTGTGCCACGCACAGCTGTGTGCCAGCTAGATGACACGGACGACACACGGACGACAGAGGTCTGAGAAGACACAGCTGTGCAGACGAACGCTGCCAGTTGGTGCACGGAGCACTGAGTACCTTGGTAGTCACATACGGTAGTACTCGCCAGAAATGGCGAGTGCCAAAAAGCATACGAATTAACGGCCCGGAATGAGTCAGTTCTCTTTCTGTGATTTATGGCTGCGTTGAATTTTGCAACTGCCCAATTCAACCCCATTCGCCAGCCTTCAGCTCTGCTCCAAGTCCTGCCACGATGACGTTCTCTGCTGCATCCTTAGTGGCTCAGAAAGAGTGACAAATGCCCGGCTTAAACTTTTTTAATCTGGATTTTGGAATATGATTTATCCGACGCTAGGCATTTACATGCTCTGGTGGAAGCAGTATGCTGGTGGGTGCTGTTGCAAACTTTCCAAACATAGCTAAGGTTCCCAGTATCAGCATTTGGCACCGGCTTTGTCCTTATGTGGCCATTTTCTTGTCTGATGATCAGTAGCCTTGATTAACGTGTCTCCAGTCTCCATGGCATGCCAATGAGAACCGCGACTGTAAAGTCAAAGTGCTTGTGAAATGTCCAGACTTCGCATGAAACTCCATTAATATTAATTTAACTTCAGCTGATGTTTTAATTATCCAAACCTGTGCCTCTTTTGAATGCCTTGTCGTGACAGCCATACCTGTGCCGCTCCCACAAATGGTAGCGCGTGGGTGCTGTTTCGATCGGCACCTGAGACAGTGCCCGAGACCCTAGCCAACCACTTTCCAAAACCGTCCACCACTTCAACGCCAGGCTAGATGATCAACTTTTCGTCCATTTCGGAACCGCCGGTCGCGGCACAGGAGAGCTCGTTTCGTCGATTTGGCGCCGCCCTTTTCAGCTGGGTCGCCCGTTACTGGCACTGAAGCGAGCACTGCGCAGCGAGCGATAGTGATTGGGTGCGCTGCCCCGGACCACTCCGCTCGATACGAGCGGCCAACACTGCTGGGGACGACTCCAGTCGCGAAACTTGGCACAGGACCGGCGATACGGAGCTTAACCAGCTACACACCGAATCCCCAGTGGACAGGCCGGCGCGGCGAAGCAGCCCACGTTTTTTCTTGTTTTTCTTTTGCTTTCCGGCGAAGTTGCGTTGGCTGGTTTCACGTAAACTTCACCTATTTGTCGAAAAATATTGGTCAGTAGTGGCGAACTGGCTGATAAAGTATTCGGTACATGTTTCCTTTTTGCGCTTGATGTTGTTAGGCTGCTTGCCATTTAGAGAAAAAACTTCAATGGAACGCACAACGTTCATTGATCAAAACGCCCAGCCAAACCAAAGATCATCCAGAGATCACAACGCCCAACCCTAACCCTGCAGGTTAACATAACACATGATACTTTTCGTCGCGCACTTATATCGCCTTCTACAGCATCGAATTTAAATGACGGGGATCAATTAACGATTCCATCTGTTTGACAGCTTTCAAGAATTGGGGACGTCTTTGAGTAGGTCAGTGCCCTTACTGAAATTGAGCAGCTGAAACTGCGCACGCTGACAGCAGCCTGCAGCGTTAATCCCTTGGCGTTCCTATGAGCCCGGACCTGGATTACTTTCTGGGCCGGTCGTGGCGTGCTGGGCGGGCGTTCTGCCGCCTCTATCAGTGTTTGGGCGCAGTGGGACCGGGCGGGGGAGTGGCTCAGATTGGACCACCAAGCTCCGGCCTCGGAACAGACGTCGGCCAGACGCCGGCGATAATTAGGTTTACTGTAGAGGAACAGAGAAAAACAAACGGAACGCTACGCATTGCACTGCGCTGTGTTCGTCCGAAACCGATGGTGCGTACAGTATTGACGTGGGTTTGGTTCTTCATCGGATGGGAAAGCGTGCGTTCCGTCTCGAAAGGAACGTTGCCAAGGCCCATGGTGTGTCCGCAGTGTTTTCATCGTCATGTTTTGCTTCTAGGTCCAGCAGTGACAATCGGTCGCTTTAAACACTAAACAGCGGCCCACTGTCTGCGAGACGTTCTCCAGACAGCTGCGGCGCTATTGCCTGCTGCACTGGCCGAGTCTGCTGTCGTGAGGTCAGCGCACCAATACATATAACAGCTGGGCTGATGAAGCTCTGGGTCGTGACTGGTCTCTGTTGTCAATTATAACTGAAATTGGCCAGCAGTACAGCAGTGCAGCCGCGGCAGTTTTGCTCGCTCTGGGCTGTTTGTCGCCTCTGACGCGTGCGCTCACAGGTCACCTGTCTGTTTATGTTTGTGTCCGCCTTGTCCGTCGTTAGGGTTTGTTGTTGGTCTTTCGCCATCTATCGCCACCATCCGTTCACTGTTTGGTGGTTATTTTCGTCATATCCCTCCATCCTCCGTTCTTTCCCCATTGTTTACTGCCAACAGTTTGACCTTCACACACAGCATTTTCTCGACATATCCATACAATATGCAGCACGCTATTACCTATCGTCACCTGCCGTCCCACAGCGCTCCATCCATTCCGTGCCGTCGATGGCCGCCTACTGCCCGACCACACCCGATATTGGACGGCACGGAGCGCTATCTCGTCCATCTGCGCTCGGACAGTCGTGTTTGGTGAGCCCGAGGCACTGTTTACGCTCATTACTGCGGGCGTTTGTGCTCCGCCTGCTGCTGGCCTGGCTCTGCTGGCAGGGCTGTCAGACCTGAGTCAGCTGCCAGACCTGCTGGTACGGCTCTGCTGGTACGGTTATCAGACCTGCTGACACGGCCAGCAGACGTGCTGATGACAGCCTAAGGGCAGCGGCTGTCAGATTTGCTGGCAACAGCCCTGGGACAGCAGCTGGTGACGTAGCACTGGCGACACACGGACCGTGAGGGCGTGAAATTGGAGATTGGAGGGTGACGAATGGTGGTGGTCACTAAAACGACCGAGTTGATGAATTAGAGTACCGCTATTTGACAACGAGCTGTTACACGGTGGTGGTTTGATATTCGCTACAGCCTACAAAGCTTGGTAAGTGGGGAACGTAGCACACTGTCCTTATATATGCTCTCTAACGCTAAACTGGGATCACTAAGCATCGACCTTCGGAATCCACGCTGCACTCTCTTCTGATTTGCACATAAATGCTGATTATGTCTCGCCATGCATTCTTCGTTTGCCACGTCATTAGCGTCCCTGGCTTGTCACCTGCAGCCTTGGGGCAGCGGTGCAGTTCGGTGGGCACACCTGTCCCCGTACCTGGTGGGCGGCCCTGATCGACCGTCCCACTGCCCCAGTGACACGGCGGCACCACGGGGCACCAGCTCTCCGTGCTGGTGACCCTGTCACACCGAGTTACAGCGTCACCACTGACTCAGTGGCATATTAGCACCACGGGGTGCAAGTTCCCGTGCTGGTGACCCTGTCACCGTGTCATACAGTCACCACTGACCCGCTGACACAGCAGCACCACGGGACACCAACTCCCCATGTCACAATGGAGCCCGGTGAAACAAACGATGACGATGCACTACGTGCCTATCCCGGCACTGAATTGACTGTCATTAAGGTGTAATTTGCGGTGGCGAATGGGTGGTTATCCATGTCGGTGTAACTAATTGAAGGTAGATCAATTGAAGGATGAAGACGTTAAATCGACAGGTGATGCTGAGTTAGTTTCTCTTGGCTAAGTAAGTATGCGCATTCGGCGTGGATGGCAGCATGCATTAGTTGACAATTTGCGTGGCTAATAGGGTGTAATAGCTCTTGATTTTTTTTATATTGTGCTTCCTCGCTCCCAATGTCATTTTAAGATGGCACGCCCACAGACATGTTTTGTGTGTCAAATTTCCCTTTGGTTTCACTGTTGCCAATTGGTTTTCGCTGTCTCACTATCTAATGGTGTTGACGTTTTCCCATCTCGTGCGTACCCGTTTGCCTTTCTGCAGACCGTGACCTTCAAAATGCACTTCCATCCATCCTCGGTCAGCTTTCTCGTCACGTCTGCATTTGCATACATGACAATGTCCCCCTGCAGACCGACGACCTTGAATGACATCAGCTACGGCCGAGAAGCGGTTCCAGAAACCCGTCCAATTTCCTCTGTGACTAGTAAACACCTCGGCCGCCCACCGTTAGGTCATGACTGTCCCGGGCCGCTCATCGCCCGCTCAGTGCGCGGTGTGGCTCGGGGCGCCGTCCGTCGGGTATGCCGTCTGACCCTGTGTCCCTTCTTGTCCCACAGTTCGCACCTCGAGTGTGCTGCTGCTGCTGGGCGTCGGGACCCTGGTCTGCTGCCGGCTGTACGCCCGGTACACGGGCGGCGGCGGCGGCGGCGGCGGCGGTGACGGCGACAGCGGCTGGCGCCGGCTGCTGCGCACTCTGCTCGGCACCGACTGGACCACGCCACCGACCATCATCGAGGACGAGGACGACCTCACGCCCGACGACGATATCCAGGTGGGTGCCGTGTCCGCGGAGACGGTCTGCCACTGCGCGCTAACCCGACAGAGCTTGACGGCAAATCCCCTGCTTCCTGGTTGTCTGCGCTCCTTCACACTCCTTTCTTTTACCTATCATCTGTGCGAAAGTTGTTATAACAACTCATTCCTTCAATATCGGACGCTTCCTGGATGTCAACTGATGGTTCCAGTCATTGAAAAGCGGTTCCAGAAAGTCGACCAATATCCCGTGTGACGTTTCCATTTCCCAGTCACGCTACCTCCCACTACCCACGTCCCTGTCCTTCCCACCTATCCCTCCTCCAGTGCCCCACTAATCAGCCGTCCCCCACCCCCTGACCTCCCAACCTTGTCCGGCACCTGTACCCGCCCCTTTCCGTCTCCGCCGGCCCGACCTGACCGACAGGTGGTCACGCGACCTGTCGCTCCCGAGTCCCCGCGTGACCTCGCTAATGGCACCGACAGCTACTTGGAGGCGATGTCGATACATTGTTACCGGCCGTGTCTGTCTTTGTTTGTTCCTTGGGGCAAGCAGTAGAGTTGGCGTTGGAGAATAGTGAGGGGTGCTCGTATGTTGTTATGAGGGCGGGTGAATGACAGCTACAATGCTGACGCGTCGTGAAGGAGGTTCAGGCGGGGTAAGCGAGTTGTTTGTGTGATGAATCGTGATGTGATGGGAAATCTGTAGGACTAATCTTCCTTTTGTCGCTCGCATTACGACTCACTCTTGACTCTGCTGTAATAGGGCAATGTCAGAAATTCCAGCATCTAGACTAAAAAATGCACATTCATTTTCAGTGTGTCATGACACGAATACATCCCGGACATCCCATTCAATCTCAAAACGAACGGCTCCAGATGAATCGGTGTTTCAATTACGACTTACGAGCCCATTTCCGATGGGCCCGGTTCCAATCCAACCTCTTCTCGTGTTTGATCACGTGGAGTTTAACTGGTTCCGACTGGTGTCATCTCTCGCGATACATGAGGCGGCGGCTCCAGTGGTCCTAACATTACGTGTTTTGTTGACCGGTCGCCGTCCTGTGACCTTTAGCCTCCGGCTCCTTCTGTGACCGATGTCACTCAGGAGACAGAGCAGGTGTCCGCCCCGGCGCAGGTCAAACGGGTAGGTTTGGAGCGGTGTGGCGTGCGGGACGTTTGAACTGTGGTGTCGGAGTATTGAGAAACGTGATGCTGCATTTGGTGTCGGTTGGGTTTTATTTTCGGTGTTGGAAACTTTTATCGCGACAAAGGAATCTGTTGTTTTCATGGAAACGGGATGGATTCTATCGACCTGTTTCTGGTTTGGGCTCGTGGCCTTGCATGCGCGTTCCACTCCCGGCATATTGGGTGATCGTGACTTTCTCGGTTATTTCGCGGCTGTAGTCTGACGGTGCTCCACCCATATGTTTCGATGCTGCTCAGTTGAAAAATACAATTACTGATAGTGGTGACACACGCCCATCCCGATGACGCTGTTTCTTTGTTGTGAAATTGAATAAAGTTTTCTTACTGGTGTTGGCGGCTGGCGCAGCTAAAGTACTGCGAGGTATAACATAGGGTGCAATAGCATTGATATAAGCTCAGTGCGGTTTTGTTTATAGCCTCTATTGTTGGTTCGTTTATTTGTTGGGCGTGTCATGGGCAGTCAACAGTTGACCTCGTGATAAGCCGTCCGCCGGCCAGTGCCCCAGATGATCAATCATGCCTCACAATCGGCGACCCGAACTCTCCAAGTCCAGCGGTCACCGCCTCCCAATACGGGTCTGCTATCGACCGTGTTGATGACATAGAAAACCGCCCCGCCTCCCCAAACGCTGCCACCAAAAGCAACGTCAATATTTGCGGTGGGGCGGCTCTGTAAAGTTTCTGTTTGTCCAGTGCGGTCTCGGATGTAGATCGTACAGAAATGTAAAGAAAGACATAGAATAAGATTGCGGTAAATGTGCCCCCTGGTAAAATTAAATGTGAGCCGTGATATCCAATCATTTTTTTTTTTTGCAAATTACCCCGATCATTGGGAGTTTTCTATTTGAACAATGAACAGCTCATCGCATTGCCCTTTCGATAAGACTAATGAACTTGAAAAGAAAGGCGTAAAAGTGGAACATTTCACGGTGGTCTCGTTTAAGTAAAAACATTCAGATTTTATAGCGTCTTTGCTAGCTCATTTGCTCGACTATTAGACTGTAATGACTGAAAGTGACTGAACCAGTTCACTGGCGTGAGAAACGTCTCCTTAGTTCCCCATGATTTCACAAGCACCAAATGGTGGCCATGGTATCCCAACTCGCTCAGTCGTCGTCTACACATGTGTTTCACATATCAGCGGTTTGATGGAGCAGCGCCCACCCACCACGTCAGCCCATCTGCGGAGAGTCTCTCCTCCAATCGCTGCCTCGGCTGGCATCACGGACGTAGCGCTCTCCTCCGGCTGACACCGACCCGTGTGCCCCGCGGCTCCGCCGACCGCTCGCCGACCGACCGCTCGCCGACCGACCGCTCGCCGACCTACCGCTCGATGGATGACTTGTAATGTGTCGAGACAAAACGGTAGACTGCAGTCCCCGTCGGGTGGCCCGGCGCCTTTGTGACTAGCTTGCCCTTGGCAATTCCATATTCTATTGTGATAGGAATTGTTTCGGTCATCCTTCGGCTTGCGGAAGCCCGCTAGCTCAATGTTCCGTCACGGGCCTTGGTGTCCGGTGTCATTTATTGCTGGTCGCTTGCGGTTGTGTATCGTGACACCCCTCCGTTTTGCGGCCTCTGTTTGCCGTGTGGGCCGAACGTATCGGGCTGCGGTCCGCTGTGAAGTGAGCCGCTCCAGTTCCTTGCCGCTCCGGCTAGCGGTCACTGCTGGACCACGGTCGCTGAATGGTGAACAGCGGTCACTGTATGATGACCAGAGCTATATGATACCCGACCAATGGCCATTGTCTGCTGACCGATGGTCATTGGTCACCGACCAGCACGGTGGTCAGTGTGCCGACCGGTGTCCCAGTGTCTGTAGACCGATGGTCACTGGTCACCGCCTGCCGACCAGCACGGTGGTCACTGACTGACAGAGGGCCTCGGGCGTCAGTAGCGGGTCCCGGGGTACCCTCTGTGACGGCCGTGCGTGCTATGCTATTGAATGGAGAAGCTGGGAGGCTCGGCTGCCCTCCGGCGTGGAAAGACCTCCTGGTGAGCCGGTGAAGACAGACTGTGGCCGGCCGGCGGCGGCTGAACCCGTGAACACTAGTGAGCTGATCTCACGGCAGTAACGGCTGCCAACATTTCTACCCGAGATATAAAACCCAGTTTCCCACCGTATGTTTTGTGATATAGTTCAAATAGGACTGGGTATTTAAATGCTAAAAGGGGTGTTTGAGTAAAGATTTGAGTGAAATTGATTCAGACGTAAATGGTTTTTATCATTTGCGGTAAACAGAAGCATAGTTGCTTTTTAGTGCGTAAATGTGCCGTTTAGCCTGTCAGCCTGAAAATATGAATCGACCATAGACCTCTACGGTAAGTAGAGGTCTATGAATCGACTTATTCATACCCGATCTTATGCACCACCCGTCAAACCAGATTCCATTGCGCGACAGCCCTGAGCTCACCGTTACGTTCATGTCCATGCACTTTTGGCTTTCATAATTCACACAGTCCCCTTACCAGTCTTTCCACTTTCCACTGGCCGGCTCATCGCGAAGGCGGCACCCACAGCTGCGTCTCCGGTCCGTCGTCGGCTCTTTGCACAGACCCCGGCGGCTCTGTTTAGAGTGCTAACTGCCGTGCGCGGCGCCCGCAGTGCGTGCCGCTGCGTGCCGGGTGTCTGCCCCGCTGTGATTTGTGTATTATTGTTCTGAGCCGGCACCGAGCGGTGCCCTGTGGTGGAATGAATGAGCTGCGCTGCGTGGCGCCTGAGACGGAGCAGGAAGGGTTCATTAAGTGGATGACGGGGCCGGTGGCAAGTGGGTGGCATTGCGACAAGCTGACTGATCTTGACAGGCTAGTGGCACTGACGGCAATGGCGGAACGGGGGCGAATTTGTGGACTTGTCTGTTGTCCATTACTGCCCAGTACTGATCAGAGGCTTGTGTCGTCTAAGCTCGTTGGTGGTCTCTTTTTATGCTGTTTTTTTTTTCCTGACAGCTATTGAATATGAATGTTTTAATCCATATGATTTGATATGATTCAATCACCTTTTTGCTCATTGAATTTGATGCTTGTCATATTGCTTACATAATACCAATTCGGTGGTCCATGACCCAACGGTTTGCGCTAGTCCTGGTCCCGTTGGTCCTGGTCCATCTGGTTCCAGTCTATCCAACTCCGGTGGTCCTATAAATTGATCGGCGCCCGTCGCGTTTAGAGCGGCGCTGACCCGTGACGCCGCGCTGCCTACTCGTTCGGAGTATGTGCGCCTGTGCGGTACTCGTTCGGAGTATGTAAGTACGCCCTGTGCGGTACTCGTTCGGAGTATGTGCGCCTGTGCGGTACTCGTTCGGAGTATGTGGCCGGCGGCGGGGATTTGGCTCGTGCCGGGAGGATCTTTTGGCGCCGTTAGTGTTAGCTTCCTCTGTATTTTATTGATTAATAATTACCCATCAATGATGTGGCTGATGTTCTTATGAAGTCAACACATTTGTGCGGTGGCTGTTTTCAGACAAAATAAGCATTTGGTTTTGCCAGACACGGCTTTGAGAACCGACTTTAGTGAATTAGTTATTCTTGTTGTCGTACTGACTTAAAAGTCACCGTCCAGCACAAGAAGAAGATCTATTCTGCTCTCCTCTACACCTTCCAGCCAACTAAACTCACAATCCCCCTCCTGGCACATCCACAGCTCGCAGACACACATCTCACATCATCACCAACCAATCGCGCTGTCATACGTCATATATCTCACATCATAACCAGCCAATCATGCTCCCATACGTCATGCCCGGCCCAGCTACTTGCAGGGTGTAACTCGGCCCTGCCGGCATCAGATGCCGGCGGCTATGACCAACGCTGGGTCACCGGTTCACAGCTCGACGCTGAAGCTGACTCACACTTATACGGCTCACATTCATCCTTGCGTCACGCTACATCACCCCCTGGTTCTGAAGAACCACATTACTCTACATGTTACATGTCATTCAATCAACGCATCAACTACATCCTCTGGCACACCATCGCCATATCTTTCCGGCTCTCTTCGAACACGCGTACCACGCCGCAGCGTCGCAGGCACGAACGTTTCACTCTCGTCTGCGGACACATCGGACCCGGTCGGTGGATCGGGGTCCGGGGACTGAGCGACGCTGGGCGGCCGCGTGTCCGACTCCGTCACATCACTCGGAGCTGGCGACACACACACGCCATCACACTCGCTGTCATCAGACCACTCCACCGTTGGCGCTCGCAGAGCCCCTGGCCTCGGACATTCAGGGACGGTCAACCGATGTCGGAGGTTTCGCACATGTCGTGGGACATTATCGACTTCGATTGTCTGGGCCGAAACGACGCCTGTCACAATACCCTCGTCTGACTTTACAAAACATCGGTCGCCCCGCCGCCGAACCCACACCTTGTCCCCTACCTGGTATACACCGGGTTTCTTCAGCGGCAGGGCGTCACCAGGCTCGTCTGAGGTTCTGCGGGGCGTCACGTCAACGTCTCGGCCAGGGTGTCGAAGCACCCCGTTGATTGGAGCTGTGGCCGGGTCACTGCCATCCTTCGGTGTCACGTTGTATCGATGGACTGCTTCAGCAACGGAGCAGGACTGCCGGGCCACCATCACTTTGATGGTACGATGATGGCGCTCGACGATGCCGTTCCCGCCGGGCTCGTAGGCAGCGCGGAACCGGATGGATACGTCCCAGCGAGCCGCGAACGCTAACATGACCCGGCCACGGAACTCTGTCGCATTGTCCGTGAGTATTTCCGCCGGGGCTCCACGCTCTAGAAACACGTTCTCCAGCTCACTCACAATCTCCAGAGCTCCTGCCCGGCGAAGCCGTCGCCATATGGCGTACCTCGACGGCCCGCAGTCCACCAGCGTCAGGTATGGGTGGCCGTGCACGTGGGTGACATCCATGGCCAGGCGATCCCACGTGCGTTCTGTTCCGAGTGACCCACCGGGCCAGCGCTCCGGCG